CAGGAAGCCGGATTCACGAGTCACAGGAAGTCGGAAGTGATGTCATGCTGGACAAGAATCAGAGTCCGAATACATTTTTTCATATTCGGACTCGAGTCCGAATAATCACTGCCTTCCGAGAAACAGGCCTAGAGACTAGATCTAGATCTAGAGCTCAAGTTTATTTTCCCGAGCATTTGGAGAAATAGAGCCAGCCAAAAAATACTCACTTCCAAACAAAAAGTAAACTACACTATAAACACTAGCCTACTTTAAACTTGCACTCTGTTTAATTACATAGTATATCTGAATCTCAATCTGAATAGATATATATTATAATAATATGATAATAATTATACACAATCACATGTTCACTTAACTTTCATTGCAAGTTTGTCTTCAGCATAGGCACAGTACTATTGAAAGTTATTCGACCGTTGGTTCGTTGGACACAAGGCTGAGTTCGTCGTAGTTGATTTTGTCTTCTAAAGTCTAAAACCAAAGGATCCTTGGATCAAAAACTAAAACTAAAATTAAAAGACCAAGCCGCATTGTCGGCACGGTGGTCGAGTGGTCGCTCGCTGTCGCTCGCTGCTTTGTCGTCGTGCCAGCCAGGACAGATATTTTTTCTTGGGATTTGATGTAAATTTCTTTTTGGTCAGATGTTTTCATTAAAACTTTAAGCCTACTCTCACCCCACCCAAGCTATACATGTTGTTTAAAGTATTTAGAAAGGTGGCAATGATAAGAATCTATATGAAGCATGTATTATATCGTATTTGCTCCTTCTACATCTAAAAAATTATAGTGAGATTGAGGCTCTCCCACAGAATTCTGTCTTTGGGCTCTCCCCATTCCATATTCATCTCTTTAAATTCTAGGGTGAATACATCTGAGAAATACGTGCATTTATTTATAATACGTTAAAAAAATTTGTAGTACTTTTTCTGTCAAACAAAAACCTTCAAATGTATTTGAAGTTTTGATTTTAGGAAATAACACACCACATAATATATTAGTAAAATTTTCTGGAATTGAGTTCTTAAAACACGCAAAAATAGGCAAAAAATCAATGCTTTTGCCAAGCCTCGTTGAGTTATATCTGAGGTGGATAGCAGTTGACAGCAGTGTCTATTGAGAGAACAAGTAGTTCTTTTATGTGCTCGCTGAATTTTTTGTAAGATTACAAATTAGTTACAATTTTTGTGGGACTACCGAAAAAGAGTTTTAGAGGAATATTTCCATTCCCACTGTAAAAATCCACAACCCTGGACAGCCTCCATATCAAACTGTCATGAACAAAACAAGCCTTAAAACATTTACAACAAAGTATGCAAAAAATTATTATTTTAAAATTAAGCCAGCGGTAGTTGGCCTTCTGCACCCCCAAACATAATGATTCCTTTGTGGCTACCTTACTTTTCCTCTTTTATTTTAAGATGAAAGATTCAAAAAATATATATTATACATGTGTATTTATATACTCGATTCATATGCCTACACACATGCACAATGTGAGTGAGAGATAGAGAGAAATGGGAAGAGAGAAAGGGAGGGGAGA